GAGTGTGCTGCTTTACATTGCTGCATATCTTAGGTAACTCATCCACCTGTGTGTTTCTGTCATTCACTCATAGATTTACTGAGAGTGAGAGAAATAGACAGACAAAGAGACATACAGACAGAGATAGACAGACCGACGGACTTTAAATACTTACAGTAAACAATAATATCTACAACAGTAAATGGAGCGATACCTCAGGAGCGGAAGGAGGAGAGACTACTGCCAACCTCGACGCAAGATAACCTCCTCGGCAACTCTTCCTCTTCCTCCTCCAGTCAAGAAAGTCAGACAGGAAGAGGGACTATTAATATCACAGTCATATCCAGTCGAAGTAGAGTATTCATAGCTGTCGATGGTCGAACGGTATGTATATGTGTCTTGTGATATATTTTGATACATTGTTGCTTAATCCAGTCATCTTCCTTGATTATGACAGTCTGATGTGCCAGTTAGTTTTACAGTTGGGTATAATAATGTAGTGATAGTCAATGAGTGATTTAGTTTGACCCTGGAAAACTCATTACTATCTCCCAGGTAGTGGATGTGAACGACACTGAGCTGATGGAGAAAGCTGGGCTATACTTTGTTCTCTTGAACCAGTACGATGGATCTGTTATAATGAACAAGTGAGACATGCCCCTGAATGTTATATGCTGTTATTCTTACCTTAGTGATGTAATGAACCGGTGACAACACTGTTATTGTTATGTCAGAGGTGTTATAATGAACATGTCTTGTAATTGCAGTGGGACTCTTTCCTTCCTACAGGACTTCACAGTTCACTACACTGGTGTCCATTAACATTCTGAACATTATACAAGGGATTTCAACGCTCTAAATATTGTACAGGATGTTTACTAACGCTCTGAACACTGTACAGGGTGTTCAACTTTCACGAGTACGCGTACAACGTGGGTGTTCCTTCACTCTTCACGTCCCTCTCCAGCGGGAGGATCATGGTGTTGGCTGTCAAGGTAGGGCGCTGTACTGGTGCTGTCTGTGCCTTGCTTTAGTGACTGATCAGACAGGGCCGAGTCACAGACCCCACCCTAACCCAACCCAACCCAACTTAACTCAAGCTAATCTAACAACCTAGGTTGAGCTAGATTACGTAGCTTTACGATAAGACGAGAAAGTTCAGAATGTGTATGTAATATGCTATATGTTAACGAAGCTCAAATTCTCTCTCTCTCTCTCTGGCTGTGTTCAAGAGCTTAAATTCACGTGTCTTCTGCTGCCCCCTGCCAGCTGGATGCTGGGCTCAACATGCCTCAAGGAGTACGACAACTGCTACAGGAATTTGGATCACGCTGGGCTCACCATTTACGCTTCAGGAGTTACTTAGCCTGGGTTCTCACCTCCCGAGGGCCTACCTTGGGTGAAGGGAACGTCGACCCGTATGAGATAACCACAGAAAATGAAGATGTCGACAACCTGGAGACTTGGACAAATGAGGGAAGGAGAGACGGTCCCGTAAAGGTACAGAGCAACATCTTCGCTTCCCCCGTCTACCTTGAGGTGACAGTACCTCTAGTTATTGAAGGTGAGGGACTGTTTGACGGATTATTTACTAAGGGTTTAAGCCCACATTTTCATTGGTTCGTGAGGTTAACTTTCCCTCGCTACATCGCTTCTGGTGGATTTGTTTGTGTGGCACAGTACATGACTCAGATATATTCACCCTTACGTAAGAATCTTTGAGAATTTGCATCTTGCTGTGATAATAATCCCCCCCCCCAGCTTATTTAACATTAACCACTCTAATCATCAGGTAAGTGAAACAAACTGAGGTGTTAATCTTCATCTAATTCCCTACTATATACATACGATCTCATGTATTCATCCTAAATGCTAACAATGTTTATACTTCACATACTTCCTCCCTGGCCAGGTGACTGCTGGGGGGAGAGAGAGAGAGCAGTTTTCTGTAGGAGTCACGATGGCTATGGTGATCTATGCCACTGTCAACACCCGGCGCCTCTCACCTACCACCCTCACCAGGTCCCGTTAATCATGTTACTGTATATGTTTATAGATTTTTATTACGAAAAAGTTAATATATTACGTGGTTTTATTAACAGCACACGTACTTTACCTTGAGGGGTTGTTAAATTATGTTAATGACTATTTTACTATACCCACTGATGTTTAGCCCTATTTTAACACACTTATTAAGTTTTGATCATATTTTAAGAAATTTAATAAGTTTTGATCCTATTTTAAAACGATCCAATTACCTCTGATCCTATGCCAAGATTTTCCCAATACTGTTGAATCCAATAAGAAGTGTACCTAATAAGTTTCGACTTTATATATATACCTAGATCACGCGCACCTACAGTGATTTACTTGCATATATATATATATATATATATATATATATATATATATATATATATATATATATATATATATATATATATATATATATATATATATTAAAATGTTACTTTAGTTCACCATCATTCCAAACCTACTAAAAGTGTTCTTCATGTGTGTTCTTGTGTTCAGCTGGAGAACACTGTTATCGATAACGTCCCCGTGGTCATAGTAGCCAGCTCCAGACCTCAGGAGCTGTACAGGTAACTTGTTCTTCTGTTTTTCTGTCTGTCTGTCTATCTGTCAACACCTGTAAAATTTCATTAAGTTCAGGTAATTACTGTTTCATTCAGGGACTTGATGAAATTACTGAAATATTGTCATTATTATTTGGATCATCTGTGTGGTAATCTGACAACATTGTGTGGTAAGCTGACAACATTGTGTGGTAAGCTGACAACATTGTGTGGTAAGTTGACAACATTGTGTGGTAAGTTGACAACATTGTGTGGTTGTACAGAGGTGTGGTGCCTTACAGGTGTCTGGTAACAGTGCTACGGCAGGAGGGAGGTGACGTGAGCAGGGTATTGGTACTACTGGACGGTTATAACACCGAGCTGATCGCCCTTCTGCAGCTACTGGGGGTACAGTTAATTGTCCTTCACACTATTACTCTCTAGTACTGTAATAATAATAATAATAATAATAATAATAATAATAATAATAATAATAATAATAATACCACCACCTTTAAAATACTCCAATTACGTTTTGATACATTTAATCCCAATTCTTTTTTAATTATCTAATTACACCACTCACCTGCCTTGGCCATCAGGTGAAGTATCAGGTAAACAACATGGAGGGGCGGACGTTCATCAGTAGGAGTGCTCGTATCTCTCACCACTATCGCTTCTCCCTCCACGCCTTGTTTAACTCCTTCCCCAACGCCTCTAAGGCCATCGTCTTGGAGGAGGACCTGTTAGTGTCACCGGACTTCTTCAGGTAAATGGGATCTTAAGGGCGTTTCTGCCTGAGGTGAGGAAAAGAGAACAAAAAAATAGAGGAAGACGTGAGAGAAAAATGAGAGATATAGAGATGTAGACCGATAAAATAAATAGAGAGAGCTAGAGATAAAGAGAGAATGAGAGAGAGATACATTAATAAATGGAGAGATAACAAATATGATCACTCACCTCACCCTCCTCAGTTACTTCAACCAGACATCGTGGCTGCTGGAGGCTGATCCAAGTATCTTCTGCATCAGCGCCTGGAACGACCTCGGGGCCCTGCACACAGCCACGCACCCCTCCAGGCTGTACAGGGTAGAGACACACGCGGGCTACGGCTGGATGCTCACTAGGGAGCTATTCGACTTCATTTACCCGATCTGGCCCAGCCCTTACAAGGTCCTCTGGAATACATGCTCCTCACACTCTCCGGGTTTGGGTCTATAATTACGTTTCTTGAACACTAAGGAAAGGTTTTAAAGATTGGCCGAATTATTGGGTTAAGTGTCGGGTTCTCTGGTACGCTAAACTAGGTCTCTAGAGCACCAAAATCATTGTAGAGCGAGGTAGAACTAACAGAGGTATGGTTTCCTTGTGTTATTGTTGGTGTAGAGAGATACGAAGTGACAGATGATGTTGGGAATCTGTTGAGTTACCTTATACTAAGACGCTATAAAGAGTGTCTGTGTGTGTGTGTGTGTGTGTGTGTGTGTGTGTGTGTGTGTGTGTGTGTGTGTGTGTGTCTGTGTGTGTGTGTGTGTGTGTGTGTGTGTGTGTATGGTACTACTGTATATACACGACGTTTCTTATAGGCGTTTGATAATATGTCTTGATTTTATTCTACAAACACTGGTACAGGGTCTCTCTCTCTCTCTCTGAGCTGTACACTATCCACTTCCTTCTCCCCCAGAACCATGACTGGGACATATGGTTGCGGAGTCCTAACCTCCGGGCGGGGCGTGAGTGTGTAGTGCCAGACGTGTCCCGGACCTTCCACAACGGCATGATGGGGACCCACATCAAGGGCGTAATGACCCACTCCCACTTCACCGCCCATCCCGTCACCGCTGTTCCCGCCATACCCCTTCACAACGTTCATAGGTGCGTGCTATGACACCCTGCTAGGACAAAAGCCAGTGGGGGTTAATTTACGCTACGATTTCAGGGTTGAACTTGACATTCATTTGTTTATCCCATTACTTTTCCCAGGATGAAGCTAGACGAATACGAGGAGGACCTTTACCACACCTTAGAGGGCGACACTGTGTACTTCCTCAACAGCACCCACCATCCATGTACTGAATCCTACATCCCCAGGAACTTTACGGTGAGAGAGAGAGAGAGAGAGCGAGAAACTGATTTAATTGTGAAATAATGTACTTGAAAACGTGTAATCATAATTCGTTCTATCAGTTAATACGATTTACCATAGCTCCCCCTATTAATTTTTTCTCGTTTTCTGCAATTTATGGCTAAGGGGAAACTATTCCATCTTTGATCACGATGACATACTCCTTTGAGAATATATCTTTTAACCTATTAAGGATGATGACTTAACCCATTAAAGATGTTGGTTTAACCTATTAAGGACGTAGTTATAACTCTTTGAGATCTATAGTTGTTTAACTGTAATGGTCATGATAAGAGCTAACCTGAAAACCTTAAGGATTCATATTACGCTCAAACGTCCACAAAACCTTCCGAGTCCTCCAGTGGAAACGTCCCCCGTTTTCTCTGTTTCCCCCGCCTTTGTCTATGGGAGCAGACGCTGTATGCTGGGACCTGTTGCCATCCATTCCTTTGTAATCAATTTAATTTTGCTTTCGATAGCTGAGTCAGAGCATTGTTAGTGAAGATAATAGTAGAGAATGAAAAGGAGTTCATAGTCTCAATTTCAACGTCAGAGGGTACCGTAAATTAATTCATTGGAATAGGAGTAGCTGGACTCCCTGGCCTAGTTTGAGTGAGGGCGCCGCGGGCATTTTAACCGTTAGTAAGTGCCCGTCCCTTCATCCATACAGGTATGCCATTCCACGCTGTGTTGTAATTTGCCCTTCTTTAAGTGATTTGACCCAATTAATAGTTGATTGTGCAAGTGTTACAGTAACGTAGTTGATATGCTCTGAGTAAAGTCATATTTACGTCTTTAACGTCCCCTGAAACGTGTTGTTGTTGTCACCAGTTAGTAAGTGCCCGTCCCTTCATCCATACAGGTCCCTAACGCAGCCTAGGCCGTGTCTGTAGGGTGGATGTTGTATCCACTATGTCTGGGGACATGTCCGAGGTCCAGTAGGATCAGTTACCTTCGTGAGACCCGGCCGTCAGACACTTCAGACCACCTATAGCCCCCATAGCTGGCTCGTCTGGCCCTAACGCTCGGTCCACGAGGTGACCCTGGACCACCAAGCCACACACCACTACCAGCCCCCATCATTGGTGGATGAATGTCTACCTCAGTAGGGCTATATTTGTGTGGTGGAATTAACCCACTGGGATCTCCAGAGTTCGTCGGATAGTACTCCATGGTGGCTGGACCCCATGGCTGTTGCTTGAGTATCACTCCTGACGACTGAGTGTTGTAGTGGCAGTTGCTCTAATATGTATGGTGCTAAGTGACTATCCTAGTTGTGCTATTGAGTATGTCCACCCAGTAGGGTTGGAAGTGTATTGATTATGTCCACCCAGTAATGGTGTGAGTATGTTGTGCCTGAGGGCCTAGTACGAGATTTCGTCTGTTAGTACAAACCAATTCTTTCTTCTAATTTCATATTCATGTTTAAATAAACTTTGTATTTGTATAATTGTGTATATTATTTACCTACAGTATTTACCGTTATTTCTTCCCTATTGCTTGATACTATCATTACACCTACCCACGAGCCTCCTATCGTCACGCTACCAATGGTGATATATAAGAGTAAAAGGAATTGTTACTGGCACACAGGCCCTCATGAAGGGTGGCAGTAGCAGCCCTCATAAATGGTGGCAGCTCAAGCCCTCATAAATGGTGGCAGCTCAGGCCCTCATAAATGGTGGCAGCTCAAGCCCTCATAAATGGTGGCAGCTATGGTGATGTAATGAACATAGTATCGAGTTGGGAGGAATGACTGTGATACTGTAGTTTAACTGAGTTATAACCATTTCTCTGTACGGGTATTTAATAATCATTCCACTGTAACTAATGAGTATTTCAGATTGCTAATGATTTTGTTCCATATTTTTCCGAGGTACAGCTTTTTGTGGTGGTTTGCAGAGAGAGTGAAATAAGTTCAAAGAAATACCTTGGAGTTAGGTTAGAAAAGTCTTGTTTAAAGTAAAAGGAAACCTGCAACAATAACTTGTAGAGTGTGAATAAGGTTCATTAATAGTGGAAGAATTTTGATATGTAACAATCTGCCCAAATTTTTTTTTCTGTTGTTAACTCAGTATTACTTACAGACAGTGAATACATGTTTGGGCCGTGGCACTAGTTGTGAAATGTTCCATCGTGGGAGTGCCCAGTGTTTTAATTCTGAGTGCTAACAGAAGCATTGCACTATATCTCGGGGCATTTTACAGTTCCTACTATTAATATTCCTATGTATACGCTATAATTTAAAGTTATTTTAACCAGGTGCTAACGGGTCATTATTTTGTGTAACGTATGTTATGTGAACTCTAATGCCAGTATACTTTCAGAATACAGTATTATATATGTGAGGACCTTATGGTGATACGGTATATGGAAAATGTTATACAAGTGTATGGACCCAGAATTGTGAGTACGGAAATTCGTGAAGTGTTCACGCAGTGTTGCACCATACTGAGTCTGTGAATGGCAAAGTGTCTAAGTGAATTTTTGATGCCATAATATTATCTTTGGGGAGATTAATAATCTGAACAGTAGTTTGAATAGTTGATGCATGGAGTGTTAGTCGTATTGCAGAAAATCCGTACCAGTCCTTGGGTCTTGAGTGAGCCCTGTGCATGTATCGTATTTAAAGTGGGTTATAGTATTGATTTGTTGTAACACAATGGCAGATGCTAACGCAAATAAGGGGACCATGACGGCCAAAGCCGCTGTTGATTTAGCAACAGAAGTCCAAGCTCTTCGGGCTAAACTCGCTGAGTCTATGGATACGATAAGGAGACAACAAGCTTTGCTTGATGAACGGAGGGAAGAACCGGCTGTACCTACTCGTCCTGCCGTGGTTCCACTTTTGCCCCCCCCTGCCATGGTTCCACTTGTACCTCCTCCGGCCGTGGTTCCACTTGTACCTCCTCCTGCCGTGGTTCCACTTGTACCCCCTCCTGCCGTGGTTCCACTTTTGCCCCCTACTAACGATATACCCAGCCGACCTCCTGGTCCCCATTACCACCAATACGTTCCGAGGCTGTCCTTGGACGACCTCGTTGGTCTTAACACAGACAACATCTTAACTAAATTCTGTAAGAGAGTAGAATATTGCGCAGTTAGCTCACGGGATAGATGGTATGTAGCTACCGACCGCATGGACCAGCAGATTGAAGACATGGTCCAAGTAGAACTCGGCACCGATGAGGAAAATTGGGATAAACTTAAAGCCACCTTGCGGAAGTTGTTTGTGAAACCAATCCCTCTGGAAGTTGCCTGGCAGGAATTTGCGAGGTTAGAGTACCATTTGGAAGATGATCCCCGGCGCTTTTTGGGCCAAGTTAAATCAGTTCTCACAACCATTTTCCGCCGGTATGGGCCCAGGGAAGGTGAAGAACAAACTTTGAAAGATAAATTGTACCAGAAACTGCCAGAACAGTTGAAAGAGGAGTTGATATCCTATTATTCCCCTTGTTGTCCAGTAGACACGATGGCCGAACAATTGGAGAAACTCCGACATATCTATCTGCGAAGTAACAGAACTGGGTATCCTGGTATCCGCCCAGTTCACAAGCATGCGACCCAAGAACTTCCCATAAGTGAAAGAGCCAGTCGGGCCGAAGGTAACGTAACAGGAGGAGCTTGGGGTACCAGTAGTAAGCGAGATCAACACGCGGTAGCCTTATTTGAAAGTCCTCGTAAAAGGTTAGTTGGAAAGCAACAGGGACCTTACTGTCCATATTGCCGAACACCGAATCATGATACTTCTACTTGCCCCTTAAATCCACCCCCACGTTCATGTTGGGATTGCTTGGAAGTAGGATGTCGGAGAAACAGTCAACGCTGCCCTGGACGCGCCAACCGTCGGCACTATCCAAAATATTGACATAAGCGGGTTCCTTCCAATGTGTCTCCTTGCATTTGGTTTACTGTAAATGAACGTGTCTGTCTTGCTTTAATAGATACAGGTAGTGAAGCCACCTTAATTCAGGAGAGCCTAGTAAAAACTTTGAATTTGCAACCCATCAAACCTTGTAAAGATAGATACCAGGGTGTTACGGGAGATGAGCTAAAAATTAAAGGTAAAGTAGTCATAACAGTACAAGTAACACCCCAGTTGCAAGTCAGACACCATGCTATTGTGGTGGATGATAAGTACTTTAATGCAGAATTGCTATTCGGAGCAGATCTCCTTGGTAGATTTAGAGTAACCTGGGAACGTAAAAGGAAACTTTTCATTTGGGCAGGCCAGTCACATGAATATGGGAAAGTAGTAATGAGAGATCACATGCAAGGAATCAAATGCGTCAATAGATTGTCATTAAAGCCCGATGTACCTTGTCCACCACAGTTGAAGAGTCTCCATATTGATAGGAAAACTATTGTACGAGGCCACCATGCACCGATCTTATCCATCAAGGTGAAAGTAGAGATAGGTCAAATTCTGAGCATACGATTCACGCATAAAAGTTTCAACCAACAACCAGAGATATGTGTTAGAGTACAGCCAGATTCACGTATATATTTGCCAGTAAGTAATTGTACCGATAGATCAGTGTATTTGAGAGTTGGCACTGTCATTGGCGAATATGAGTTAATCCCAGAGGAGATAATCTCGTATGTTGACACTAAGGGAAATCACTTGGGACATATTCAACAGGTCTATGACAAATTGTGTAAAGTAAAGTCTTCAACTGAATTCTCCCTTTGTGCACCTCATCACCTAGCCATTCAAACAGAAGGGGAGAGGAGATCGTCAAACCAAGTAAAAGTAAATGTAGGTGCTGATCAGAGAGTACCATCCTCTGACTGTGTAATTTGTGCCGGAATTCCCAACGGTACAGTAAAGAAGGTAAGACATGTCCAAGAGATTTCCAACAGTATGATACCGGAATGTGACGAAGTAAAAGGCGGAACCACTAGACAAGAGAAGTTAAATGAGTTAATTAGAAACCAACCGTGGAACCATCTAGACCGAGAAATGCGTAAACGTT